GTTTAAGCTACATGCCATCTGGCCTAGAAGCAGTCATTCTACCAGAGTGACATCAAAGGTCAGCAGGAGCGAGAGCCGTATGTCCCGCTGCCAGGCTCCTGGATTTTATTTCTCATTTAAGAGAATCTGATCTGTCATTCCTCTGGCTCCTGTGGGCTTTAAATTCACATAATCAACATATCACTGCCAGAGACTTAGTAATAGCTGAGGCAGTTTAAAGGTGAGTGGAGAATAATCGTGCTCCCAAGCCAGATGCCTTCAGTTCTGCAAGGAAACAAAAAGTCCATCTCAGGCTCCAAAAAGGAAGGCAAATTGCCCTGTTTGAAGGAGACCTCACCTCTCCTCCCAAATGTGCTAGTAGCTACATACTGCATGCTGGGAGGCCTGGCCCTTTGCAGAAGTTTAAGAGCAGTGGTCCTCAAAACACGGTCCACAGACCCCTGGGGATTCTCAGGGACTTTTCTGAGGGTCGTTGAGGTCAAAAGTATTTCCATAATAAGAGAAAGATGTTATTTGCCTTTTTCATCATTTGACATTTGTGACAGTAGTGCAAAAGCAATGATGAGTAAAACTCCTGGTACCTTAGCATGAATCAAGGTAATGGGACCAAACTATACTAGTAGTCGGTGTATTTTCTTACTGCTACACAGTAAAAAGAAAATGTCAGTTTCACTTAAACATGTCCTTGGTGAAGTGTTAACAATTATTAATGTTATTAAATGTCAGCTCCTGAGTATACATCTTTTTCATATTTTGTGTGACAAAATGGAAAGTGCACATAAAGCACTTTTGCTGCACACTGAAGTACAATGGCTGTCTCAAGGAAAAGCACTAATGCCATCATTTGAGTTGGAAGGTGAACTGCTTTTTTTTTTTGAGATGGAGCCTTTCTCCGTTACCCAGGCTGGAGTGCAGTGGTGTGATCTCAGCTCAATGCAGCCTCCACCTCCCTGGTTCAAGCAATTTCCCTGCCTCAGCCTCCTGAGTAGCTGGGATTACAGGGGCACACCACCACACCCAGCTAATTTATTTTTTTTAAAATTATTTTTATTTTTTTTTTAGTAGAGATGGGATTTCACCATGTTGGCCAGACTGGTCTCGAACTCCTGACCTCAGGTGATCCGCCCGCCTCAGCCTCCCAAAGTGCTGGGATTACAGACGTGAGCCACTGCACCCAGCCTATCTGCTTTTTTTTTGAGGAACACTGTTTTTATTTGGAAGAACAACTGACAGACTGTGGTTATTTGAAATTGGGTATTTGGCAGATATTTTCTCAAGAAAATGAACTAAATTGGCCAGTAACTTCAAAGAAAATAACTGGCAGTATTTATTGCCAATGATAATATTTAAGTTTTTGAATGAAAATGAGAATTTGGAAAATCTTGTATTTGCCACCGTGAGCCTAACAGCTTCCCAGCACTAAGAACTTATCTGATAAGATCAATGGTGATTAATAATGAAGACAATCTTTTGAAATTGTATAATGAAATGTGCTTACATTTGGAAGATCTGCATAATTCGGTGCACCCAATATTTTCCAAGTGCCCACGGTTTGGTGTTACAAAATCATAAATGTTTAAAAGACGCATTGAAATAAAGATAGCAATGGATTTTGTTGTAACAGAGTATGAAAACTTCATTGATGTGTTTTAGATTCTGCATTGCAGGTAATCTGTAACTGTTAATAGTGTATTGTATGTTTTTAAATCGCTGAGTAAATTTCAAGTGTTCTCACTACAGAAACTATGTTAATTATTTTGACTTCATTATTCCCCATTTTATTCATAAATCATGACATCACATTGTACCCCATAAATATATACAACTATAATTTATCAATTTACAATCAAAAACATTTCTTAAACTACCACTTGTTGAGTTTTGGTTTAGTTTCAGAGAATATTCACAGTTATCTAAAAACCTATTCAAATACCCTTATACACTTTCCCTTTTTCAACAATATATCTGTATGAAACTATATTTTCTTCCTATACTTCACCAAAACCAAATACAGATGCTCTTTGACTTACAATGGGGTTATGTCCTGTTAAACCTATCATAAATTGAAAATAGCATAAGTCAAAAATGCATTTACTACACCTAACCTACTGAACATCATAGCTTAGCCTACCTTAAACATGTTCAGAACACTTATATTAGCTTACAGTTGGGCAAAATCATCTAATACAAAGTGTATTTTATTATAAAGGGTTGAGCATCTCATGGACTTTACTGACTACTGTACTGAAAGTGAAAAACAGAATGGTTGTATGGGCCCTTGAAGTATGGTTTCTAGTGAATAGGTATCACTTTCACAACATTGTAAAATCAAAAATCCTAAGTTGTACCATTGTAAGTTGGGGTCCATCTGTATTAAAAGAGATTGAATGCAGAAACAATGAAGAATCAGCTGTCTTCTATTAAACCAGACATTAAAGAGATTTGCAAAAATTTAAAACAATCCCACTCTTCTCACTAATGTTTTGAAAGATATAGTTATTTTTCATAAAAATGTGTTATGTACATTAATGTATAATGGGTTATTGTTATTTTTAAATTTAAACTTTATTTTTTAAGTTTCTTGATAGACATATTCCACATAAACAAAAGCTCTTTGGGGTCCTCAATCATATTTAAGAGGGTAGGGTAGAGGAGTGCTGCAAGTAAAACGTTTGAGAACTGCTGCTCTAGGTGATCTTTAGTGCCCTTCTCTTCCAGAGACAGCGCCATCCCTTCCCTCATCCACTGCCCTAAGCTCTGTCCCAGAGGTCCCGGAACGTTCCCATCTTCTAAATTAGCTGATGGTGGCATGAGGAAGGGAAAGAAAGATCAAAATCACTTTCAGCCAAGCACTGTGTCATGTACTTAACATGCGTATCTCATTTAACCCTCACAACAGCCCTGTGAGGTAATAATAATAATAATATGACCAAATAGTGGGGCAGCAGGACACATAAAGAGCCAACATCATTGTAAGGGTGAGCAAAGCCACATGCTGGCTAAGTATTCGACCAAATAAATAAAAACATCTTAAATACAGTTACAGCACTACTAATTTTTGAGTACATGGTGGTGATGCTATACCTAAATAAATTTCATTGTAAAGCATTAGCAAATTCATAAAAGCATCTGATCATCATGGTATTTTTAAAAATGTTAATCAATGAACCACAACACACTTGTTCATTGACAATGGAAAGGGAACAAAGAGATCTTCATCTTGAAGAATATTGAGAATCACCGCACCGTAGCATTGTAAACTACGCTGAAGCCATAGCAAACTCAGTACATCCAGAACAATGCTAAGCTCTTTGGAATGATTTCCTTAACTCTAAAAGTCCACCTTTGCCATCAAAGTATTTAAGACACTAGTCAGGGAAGACAACAGATACATATTGAAGCCAACTAACAGCCCAGTACAATATAAGATTAGATGAGGGAAACTGACAGAAAGTGCTGTAAGAGATCTGGGGACATAAAGAGCTTTTGGTCAAGGTGATCTTGGATAAACTAAGATCAGATCTTCATCTTTCAAGATAGGATTTAAATGGGCAGAGAGGAGAGTCACTGACCTTCCAAGTCAGGCAACAACATGGACAAAGACAGACATAGAAAGGGCAATATGCTTGACTCAATAGAGGACTCATAAAGAAGCAGTGGGAGATGCGGTTGGGAAAGCTAGTTTAGGGCCAAATGTTGGAGGGTCTGGATGGACTAAGAAGCATATAAACTTATCCCTATAGGTAATTCAAAATCCTCAAGTAAAAATATAAAAGAAAGACAGCAGAATGTGGCGTAGATTGGCAAACAGGAATAGGAATTGAAAGTCCTATTAGGAAGCAATTTACAGTTCAGGACTGAGATTGTTCAGGTTTGACTGGGGAAAATAGAAGCAAAAAGGAATGAGCGTGAGAGACATTGAAGAGTCACAGTTTGGTGATTAAGGCAATGGAGAGGAGGGAAACAGAGAGGACTCAAAGTTTTCAAGCCCAAGAGACTGTCACATGGTCCAACGAGGGAGGGACCATTTGGGTTGGGGCCCATCTGCTTCCTCTACACCCTCTTAAGTTTGATCCTAGTCCACTACAAGGTCTGAGGCACATGTTTAGTGACATGGAAGAGTTTTGACTTAGTCTGACAACGTAATCTGAACAGTATCCTGAACTTACTGCTGGTCAGTTCTTCAGCTGTTCGTGAGATGCCTGCCCCTTCCCGGCCCAGGACGGTAAGATCTGGATTTGTTTCAAAGGCTGCAGCTGCCCACTCACTACTCAGCACACATCCAGGCCTGCTCCCCTTACAGAACAATTCCTCTGGATTCTCCCTGGGCCTTTGAACCAGCAAGGACTTCGGGCTTGGCTTTCTTGTTTTTTGAGGATGCAGCCTTGGATTGGGGCCTTGGTTTTGGACTCAGTTGTACTCAGCTTTATTCCACAGCTGTGGGCAAGCAACACCTACCTCCACTCTCCCTGTTGCTTTCTCAGAATATTTTTCAACCTGCCTTGTCCCCATCAGTTGGAGAACAAGATCAGATAGACTTTTTGCATAGTACTAGGTTCAGTTCTGAAAAGCGTTCGGCAACAGTTAAAGGAGATCGTAGAAATGGTAAGAAGGAGAAGGAAAGGAAAAAGCTAAAGATGAAAATTTTCAGTCTGGAGAATGGGAGGGAGGATGGCACGATGATGAGATAATCATCTTTGGGTACAGAAAGGGCTCTGCTGGAGAGAGGAAGCCTGGCTGCCCTCCCATCTGGCCAAGGGCAGACCAAGGGCTTAGTTACAGCATGGGGGATTTACGTAAGATAAAAGAATGTCTTGAACAAATGCGGAAATGGGTTTCAGAGGGGGTTTGTGTAATTGCCTTCACGGGAGATGGCTAAGAATAGCATAGCTCCTCCAGCAGCCGGAAGGCAAAGAGGTGTTCTGTGGACAGGCAGGAGGTGAACTTGGGTCATTTGTTGTTGCCCCTTCCATAACTCCCCCCCTCTTCTTTTTCTATAGGAATACACATTTCTGCACTCTGTTGGGCCCCTGTGGAAGAACTCTGAACCCTTCTCCAGAACAAGGGCTCTTGGCCAATTCCTGGTATTTTTAGAAAATCAGCCTGTAAAGACTTTGCCCCCGTGGCTACCAGAGCACTGTAGTGGTGATCATTTTAAAAGCCATAGAGGTAATTTCTGACTAAATGATATCCTAGGCAGACTCAAAAATTGTGTCTTGAACTGAAGGGTTGCATGGCTGGGTTTTAATTAGAATGGATTAACACAGTGTTCCCATTTATAAAAGCCAAAATTGAAAAGAAGGAAATGCAATGAGGTAATTAAAGTGAGGAAAACATCCTCTGGATCCTCCCCCACCCAAATGGAACCATTAAAAAGACAGGGAAAATGAAATAAACAGTTGTTATTTTTTGTAGACCTTGATCATGTCTGTATATAAAATCTCAAGAGTGTCACATAGCTGTTTAAGTTTCTAGTGTGTATATACATACATGTATGTTTTTTCATGTGTGTACATAGTTTTGTACTATATAATCATAAACACATACACAGATTGTTTTTTGTTTACAATAGTATATGACAGTATATATAGGTAACACGTTTTTTTTTCCTTTTTTCTCTCAACTGACTGATTTGGCAAAATCAAGGAGTTTGCATGGTAGTGCACTAAGATGACCTACATGATTCACCGCTGCAAAATTTTGAAATGTGTCATTGGGTTTTCATTCCAAGCAGCAATGGAAAATCACTGGTAAGCGTTCTCTTGTTCGTCATGGCAACATCCTTTGATGGATACACCTGTAGAAAGGTGTTAAAGGGGGGGAATAAGGACAAAGGCCACGTGTGTTTTATCATTTATCAAAATTAAGGTTCTGCCACATTTTTACTAGAAAAAAAAAGTACCGTGCCTACATATCCATTTCAAACCCATCAATTACTGAGTCCTGTCAGAACCGTTGTCTCCTCAATAGCTCTCATGTCGGTCCCTACTTCTCCATCCAATACCACCAGCCTGTTATGTCTCCCATGGATTACTGCAATGGCCTCCTGGCTGGTACCCCAGGCTCCAGTCTTCTTAACCCTCTTCAGGTATTTCTCACACCATCACCATCTTACTCTTTATTAAGTAGAAACTTAATTGTGTCACCTGTTTGATTTAAACTGGTCAGTGGTTCCCAGATGCCTACAAGATTAAGTCCAAGCTCAGTATCATGACCCTTTAAGATCTTTCTCTGGCCTTTGCCAAACTCTCTTGCTTATCATTAACCCCTCCTCAGCTACTCTCCAAGCTCTAGCTCCAGCAAGCTCTGTCCACTCCCTCCCAGTGGGTTCTCTTTCTTTCCCTACCACACCTTTTTGCTTTTGAGCAGCCTGGCCTCTCTCCCTGGAACTGTCTGCCATCCACTTCCTTCCCTGGCTGTCTCTAATGGATGCTACACAACTCAGGTCCAGCTTCATCTCTTCCAGGAAAGCTTCCCAGCCAGGACCCCACACCAAGTTTAGTCTCTTACCTATGTTCCTACAACAAGTACAGCATCACCTACCATTGCCAGCAGAAAAGGGCTCCAAAAATGAGGGGAGAAAACCTTTTTAAAAGAATTTGATATTCAGTATTTCCCTAGAAAAGCATCGAAGTGATTGTTGTGGGGAAAAAAGTGAGGATTTGCTTGGACTTTCTTGTATTTAACGTTAATTTTTTAAAAACTTTTTGATGCAATACACATACATATACAAAAGTACACAAATCATTAATGTAGAAAGCATCCAGCTCAAGAAACCCAACATCACCAGAACTTCAAAAGCCCCACCTTGTGAACACTTCCAGTTCCTAATCCCCAAGGGGTAACTACTCCTCTGACTTCTAACAGATTGGTTTTGCATATTTTTATATTTTATGTAAGTAGAATCATAAAGTATGTTCTCTCTTGTGTTTGGCTTCTTTCGTCCAACATTATGTTTGTGAGAAACACTCATCTTGTTGCATGTAGTTGCAGTTTGTTTGTTCTTGTTATTGTAGATCAATATTCAATTATTTACCTTCTCTATTGTTGATGGGCATTTGGATACTTTCTGTTTTGGGACTCTTATAAATAGTGCTTCTATGAAATTCTTCCACGTCTTTTGGTGAACATAGGTGTGCATTTCTGCGGGGTAAACATTAGGTTAAACAATATAAAATTGCCAATATTCAACCATTGTTTACCTACTAAGATGACAACTTACTACCTAGGAGTGGATTGCTGGGTCATTGGATACAAGTATATTCAGCTTTAGAAGATACTGTTAAATAGTTTTCCAAGGTGGCCATACAAACGTATACTCCCTCCAGCAATCTATGAGAGTTGTGCTTGTCTCAATGCTTTTTGATTTGAGCCAACCTAGTGGGGAGGGGGTAAATAGTTGAATCATGTTGTGGCTTAAATTTGCATTTCCTTCATGACTGGTGAAGTTAAGCACTTTTCCATCTATTTGTTGGCAATTTGGAATATCCTCTTTTGTGGTTAGCTCAAGTCGTCTGCCCAATTTTCTATTGAGTTGTCTGCCTTATTCATTTTGTATTATTTTTATTTCACAGCTGAGGGCATTAGAATGTTTTCATTGCTTAGCTCTATAAATACTTTTATCCAATTTTATTTCCAAAGAACTCTGTGTTCACCTCTATCCAATTATATATTACACTGCTGAAATTTTATTTATATGTCAGTAATTTTCAAATTGTTAAACGATTGGAAACTGTAACCTAATTCATCATATTTCCAACCCTAGAATAATATCTATTAAGTGCTTCAATAAATATTTGTTCAGTTAACTGATATACACTTAACACTGTGTTCCTCCTAAATTTGTGTTAACTGTTTTGTACTTCCCTGTATAAAGTTTATTTCAGTAAGACAAATTGTGTGAATTATTCTGCCCATCTCCATTACCTTACAAAGGAACACTGCTACTTGCAAACATACAAAGATGAGGATCAGAGAATAGCAGAATTGTTTTCTAGTTAAGTAAGTGTCTATGAATAATAAGCAACAAAAACTTACCTAATTGATAAGAAAAAAAATTTTTTTTATTATTAAACTTTAAGTTCTGGGATACATGTGCAGAATGTGCAGGTTTGTTACATAGGTATACATGTGCCATGGTGGTTTGCTGCACCCATCAACCTGTCATCTACATTAGCTATTTCGCTTAATGCCATCCCTCCCCTAGCCCCCCCACCACCAACAGGCCCCGGTGTGTGAGAGATTCCCCTGCCTGTGTCCCTGTGTTCTCATCGTTCAACTCCCACCTATGAGTGAGAACATGCAGTGTTTGATTTTCTGTTCTTGTGTTAGTTTGCTGAGAATGATGATTTCCAGCTTCATCCATGTTCCTGCAAAGGACATGAATTCATCCTTTTTACGGCTGCATAGTATTCCATGGTGTGTACGTGCCACGTTTTCTTTATCCAGTCTATCACTGATGGGCATTTGGGTTGGTTACAAGTCTTTGCTATTGCGAGCAGTGCTGCAATAAACATATATGTGCATGTGTCTTTATAGTAGAATGAGAAAAAATCAAAATCTTAATAGCTTAATGGGTAAAGGGCCTTGATATGTGGGTAATTTATATCAAGAGAGGTAAAAACAAAAAAGTGAATTGGTAAAATTAAACGACCAGTCACACTTTATTTATTTATTTATTTACTTACTTACTTACTTACTTACCTACTTACTTCAGGTTTTCTGTCACCCAGGATGGAGTGCAGTGGTGCATTCATGACTCACTGCAGTCTCAACCTCCCGGGCTCAAGTAATCCTCCCTTCTCAGCCTCTCCAGTAGCTGGTACTACAGGTGCGCATTCTACTATGCCCTTCTAATTTTTATATTTTTTGGTAGAGATGGGGTTTCACTATGTTGCCCAGGCTGGTCTTGAACTCCTGGGATCAAGCAATCCATCTGCTTCAGCCTCTCAAAGTGCTGGGATTACAGGCGTGAGCCATTCCATTCAGGCTTATTTATTTAATAGATGCAAAAATTACTAAAAATGAAATTAATAACATCTAAAGCTGATAAGGTTTTTGTAAATGTGGTACCTTCTTACGCTGTTCTTCATTGTGCTTTTTATTAGAGCTGATGGTTTACGCATCTTCTTCCCACATTATATTGTAACTTTCTTATGAGCAGGACCTACTTCTGATCCAGTCCTATTGTAAAACCGGTAGGTACCCTCATGCATACAACCTTATTAGAATGCAATTTGTTAGTGCATTTCAAAAGCCACAACAGCATATACATGCCTCCTTTGATGAAGTAAATTCACTCTTAAGTATTTAAGGAAACAATCTATAGGAAAGAAAATAAAGAAAATAAATATGAATAAATATTAACATTTTCATTTCTATTATTTACCATAGTGATAAATGAAATCAATAAATTTCTAAATAGAAACAGTTGAACAAATTATGTCACAGAAACTCTAAAGAATATCATTCTGCCATTAAAAGTGGAAGATTTTGCCAGGTGTGGTGGCTCCTGTAATCCCAGCACCTTGGGAGGCCGAGGCAGGCGGATCATGAGGTCAGGAGTTCCAGACCAGCCTGGCCAACATGGTGAAACCCCATCTCTACTAAAAATACAAAAATTAGCCAGGCGTGGTGGCATGTGCCCATAATCCCAGCTACTCGGGAGGCTGAGGCAAGAGAATCACTTGAACCCAGAAGGCGGAGGTTACAGTGAGACGAGATCGCACCACTGTATGCAGCCTAGGTAACAGAGTGAGACTCCATCTCAAAAAAAAAAAAAAAAAAAAAAAAAAACAAACAAAAAACAAAAAAAACCAGAAGATTTTGAAGCACCTATGGATGTAGGCCGATGCTATTAGATGAAAAAGATTCAAAATCATATTATCCTCAGAATAAAATTATGCCATATAATTATACATGGGGCCATGGGAAAACACAAATACAAAAGAAATAGGTGGAAATTTCAAAGTAACAGGATGATGCAGAGTTTCTTTCTTAAATTTTATTATCATTCATTCACTCATTTCCCCTCCGCTCCTCTCCTGGACACAGCCACCATCATTTCTTGCTGGGATGATAGCAACCACTTCCTAACTGATCTTCATGCTTCTTCCCCTGTTCAACCACAGTCTGTTCTCAACACAGCCAGAGTCATCATGGAAATCACAGGTTGGATCTTGTCACTTTTCTGCTCAGAAGTCTCCAATGGCTTCCCATCTCACACAGAGTGAAAAAAAAAGAGTTCTTACAGCAGCCTGTATGACCATGGACAAGCTGAATGCTGTTTTCATCCAGACATCATCTCATTCTGCACCCTTCCTTGCTCGCTCTGCTCCAGCCACACTAGTCTCCTTGCTCTTCTACAAATGTCCTGGGACGCTTCTACTTCTAAGTCTTTGGACTCACTCCTGCCTCTGCCTAGAAGCCTCTTCTGCAAGATAGGTTCTTTGCTCAAACATCTTCCTGACCATGCTATTTAAATTTGCAACACTCTGACATCCACATATTATATCCTCCTCTCTCCTTCATAACAAGTATTACCATCTACTATATCACGTTTCACTTATTTATTTTATTTTCTGACTCCTAGAGTATACGCTCTATGGAAGCAAGACCTTCTATCTGTTTGGTTTACTGCAATATCCTCAGCAGCCCCTAAAGAGTGCCAAGCACATAGTAAATGATCAATATTTATTGGTGAAATGAAGGAACAAATTTACTAAATGTTTATTCAAGGGCCTGTTATTTTTAAGACCCTGTGCTGAGTGCTAGAAATATAGTAGTGATACTAGAAATATAGTAATAAACAAAAGAAAGGCTTATTTTTTGTTTTGTTTTGTTTTGTTTTGTTTTTTTTAGGGACAGGGTCTCACTGTGTCATCCAGGCTGGAATGCAGTGGCGCAATCATACCTCACTACAGCTTCAACCTCCTGATCTCAAGCCATCCTCCAGCTTCAGCTTACTGGGTAGCTAGGACTACAGGTATGCTCCACGATGCCAAGCTGACTTTTTTTTTTTTTTTTTTTTTTTTTTTAGAAACTGGGTCTCACTATATTGCCCAGTCTGGTATCAAACTCCTGGCCTCAAGCAATTCTCCCACCTCGGCCTCCCAAAGTGCTGGGATTACAGGTGCGGGCCAACATGCCTAGCCCAAGAGGAAGTTTTAATATCATGGGACTTACAAGACAGTGGAGGAAGACAAACAATAGGAAAGAAGAGAGAGAGGAAAGGAGGGAGGGAGGGAGGAAGGAAGGAGAAAACTAGCAACAGTGGTAAGATCTATGAAGGTGCGAGCCAGGTGAGGTGATAGACCACATAGTTAAGGGGCCTAACTTCGACGAAGTTATGTGAAAGACATACAAAAAGCATTTCAGGCAAAACAGCAAAGGCCCTGAGACTGAGAAGATAGGAGAAAGTTTAGTAAATTTACAGAAACAGAAAGACCACCAATGTAGCTAGAAAAAGGCTATGAAGAAGTGACAGCAGAAGCAGAGAGCCAGGTCCTGTAGGCCCTTTAAGTCAGGGAAAGTTGTTTGGATGTTGTTGTAAACACGATGAAAAAAAATTGCTAAAGGTTTTTTAAGCAGAGGAATGACAAGGCTGTTGTAATATTGTTCGTGAAGTTTTGGGCTAAAGTCACCAGAGTCCTGGATTACTCCAATTGCAATATGACAACTAGCACTCTGCCTCATGTGTTGCAGGCAGACATTAAATGACAGTTGATTTTTTTCCTTATTCTAAATATCACTTAGTACATATCACCAACTGACCTAGGTGAGGGAATACCTTTATTATTACCACCTTTTGTAGTTTTAATATGCTGAATGTTTTAAAATGGTTTTTATTCAATGCTTATAATAAAATTGAGATACTGAACATTCTGTTCCTAAAAAACCATTTATCCTCAAAGAGGTTTTTGATTGATTTCTTCCCAACAAGCTCTGTGCATTAACTCAAACTCAATCTGCACCAGAGACTCTATGTGTGTGCAAATGAGAGTTGAAATGTGAATCTCCAAGGAGCAAGCTTGGCCCTTGTTGATATGTAAAAATTTCCTCCAGAGCATTTGTGACAAATCCACTCTAGCATTCTCCTAGATGTACTCCTAGGCAACTTTGGAAGGTACACAGAGATAGGTTCCTTTAATCTCAAATGAATTTTCCAAAGGCTAAGTTCTATGTCTTTAGGAGAAATGAAAAATACCAAATGTTCATGTGTGTTTATTTTATTAAATTAGCTAAGAAAAAATAGGATGGGTTTCTGTGCTAAATCAAATCTCCTAATATTCAACAGTTTAAAGGAAACTTTAGACTCTTTAGTTACAGACATTACTGGGGAAAGGCAATAATTCCATATAGAACTGTATCTATAGCAGCATTTCTTTCCAAATAAATTTTTATTAAATATCCCCATTAAAAAATGAAATGTAGACTTCCAGTTGAATGTAGGAGACTTGGATGTAGATCCGCTCGCTCTCTCACACAAAAAAGCTAAAAATATATTTTTTGAAAGGTATAAGCCCACATAGACAAAAATAATGGACCCCTACTAGAAGCAAACTGAAATACTCTGTAGAATACCAGAAAGACTCAGAATTTGGAAGCTCTAGGTAACAGTAAATGTCAGAATGCATGATAAAGTTACAAGCGCTGGCAAGGATGTGGAGAAAAGGGAACCCTTACACACTGTTGGTGGGGATGTAAATTAGTACAGCCATTATGGCAAACAGTATGGAAGTTCCTTAAAAAATTAAAACTAGAACTACCATATGATCCAGCAATCCCACTACTGAGTATATACGCAAAGGAAATGAAATGAGTATGTTGAAGAGCTATCTGCACTCCCATGTTTACTGCAGTACTGTTCACAATAGCCAAGACGTAGAATCAACCTAAACATCCATCAAGGCAGGAATAATGTGGTATATATACACAAGGGAAAATTATTTAGCCATAAAAAATAATGAAATTCTGTTACGTGTGACAACATGGATAAACCTGGAGCACATTATGTTAAGTGAAATAAGCCAGACAACAAAAAGATAAATACTGCATGATGTCACTCTGGTGAAATCTCAAAAGTGGTTCTCATAGAAGTAGAGAGTAGAATAGTGGCTGCCAGAGACTGGGGGGTGGGGAAGATAGGGAGAGGTTGTTCAAAGGATACGTAATTACAGTTAGATGGAAGGAATTAATTCAAAAGATCTATTGTACAGCAAGGTGACTGTAGTTAATGATGATTTATTATGTTCTTGAAAAATGCAAAGAGAGTGAATGTTAACTGCTCTCCCCACAAAAAATAACTGCATGAGGTAATGCAATCGTTAGGGAGATTTAACCATTCCATAATGTGTATATATACTTCAAAACATCATGTTGTACATGATAAATACACACAGTGTTGTCAAATCTTAAAAAAATAATTAAAAAGAATGCATCATAGAGTCAAAACCAAGGTGATTGCTTAAAACTCTCTCAACTACCCATAGGCAGGACCACAAAGATTTTGTTCTCTGGAGAAAGTAACCTGCAAACTTTTCGGTTGCAGGGACTGAACAGAGAGGGTGAGGGTAATCATGGGGCTGAACACAGGTAGATTTCAGGGAGGTCTGCCAACTGAACTGAGGGGATGCCCCAGCCTGGACATCCAGGACTTAGAGTCACCATAGTTAATGTTTGCCTAAGAAAGCACTCAGACCAAACTGGATTCAAATCCACGCTGCCAGTTGCTAGCTAAATGATCATGAATGAAGTCATTAACCTCTTCAAGCCTCAGGTCTCTTACCTGTAAAGTAGAGATAATAATATGTATCCGAGTTGTTGTGATAATTAAATTAGATAATATAAAAATGGTATTTAGTACATGTTTGGCACATTATACATAATAAATGGTAGCAAGCATTATCAGTAAAGAGCAGGGTCTAGAATCCTTTCTGAAGGACTTGAAACTACCATTAAGTATATGTAAACTGACTCCTTTCTTTACATTATTTTCTAACAGATTACTATAGAAGTATAACCTGAAGTCTTCAGTAAGTCACAGGTTACAATCACGTTTGGTCAGGAGAACATTCCAGAACGGGCTCTGAAGTTAGACAAAATTGACTATTTCTGGCTCTTGCAATTACTAATGTGATCTTGACAAGTCACGTGTTTCTCACCTGTGAAGTTGGAATAGCAACAACTATGTGCAAGATTGTTGCGAGGACTGGCCATAAAGCAGGCATGCCCCAGCAGAGTGCCTAGGACATAGTGGGTGTCAACAAACAGAAGCCATTTTCACCATGATTATTATTAGGCCAAAAAAAATTATAAATGCCAATTGAAAATCTGATCAACTTTGGAATAAATATGCTTTGGGCTATTTTTGCCATTCATCAAATATCACTGGGGTGGGAGGGTTGTCTGACTGTTATCCAAGTACTGGGATTCCACTGACTTCTAAATCAATTTGGAAATTAACACAGTGTACTTCTAAGTGGTAAACTATACGTCTTTTTTTGTCTAGGACATTTGCAGACATTTCAGCCAAACTGGCAGGGAAAATGATACTCAATATTTTAGGTAGCTTTTTACACTGGGATTTTAACTTATGCAGTTTTTCTTTCTCTGTAAAGTGGAGTCTCTGGCCAGAATTAATTAGAACAGCACTTTTGTGGCTTGTACATGGACACTCATCTTCATTTCTTGGACTCTGAGCCTCAATTTCTCATTCAAGTGGAGAAAGCATATAACAAGAATATGGTGAGTAGTATTTTTCATCTCATAATCAATGGAGAAGTAAAAACTATTATATATAAATTCTCTGAAAATACAGGAAAATATTGCACTTTCAACAATATTTTGTAGGATATTTTAGTTACTTTATCAATGGTATATATTTTAAAAGCTTAGAACATATTATAAATTCATGGCTTTGCCACAGATTCTTATATGTTTAGTTACCTTTCTAATTGAACCAATTAACAAAACAAAATACACATTCAAATGAAACATGTATCTAAACCATTTAGGAATAATTAAAATTATAGATCAGGTTTTCTTTCACTGATCACAAATCATGGTAATGCTTTTGTGGTGCTCATTTGCGGGCTCACTTTGGTTGTGTTTATTAAAGCACGGTATTGTCAGATCACAGGGAGTATCTCATTTTCATTTTCATTTTCATATCTCCAATTCTAAAGGGAATTAAATTATCCAATTAAGCTGTTAATTAAAAAGACTCCTACAGAATAAACTGCAGGCTACCAATGGCATTTTCAATTTTCATTGTGCTGTGCTCAAAAGCAATTTTCTAAATTCAAAAGAACTCGAAGTTACTGCCCCGTACTTCACTTGATAAGGTGTGACTGGGAATGCTCCCTGAGAACTAAACCCATTTGTTCTTCATTCTGGGCACACAGCTAGACTACATGTCCCAGCCTCCCCTGCAGTTAGATTTAGCCAATGGAATATGAGCAGAAGTAATGTAGGCAACCTCAAGGACTATCGCAAATCTTCCACTCAATATCTTCCATGGCCTTTTTCCCTCCACTGGCTTCTTATAGATGAGCATACTTTCAATCATGTGTTGAAAATGGCAGAACCATAATATGGAAGGAGACTGGGTCCCTGAGTCACCAGTTAGAGGAGAGAAACTCACTGATAATTAATACCCATTATGTGTGTAATGAAAACAAGAAATAAACTGGGTTAACCCATTGAGATTATCTGTTTCTACCGCTAGTGTGATCTTAATTAAAAAAAAAAAAAAAAAGCAAGTGAACTTGAGGCGCATGCAAATATCTTAAACCTAATTGGAAATAGCCTCTTGCAAATTTTGATCAGGTCCACTTAGATACATATCTAACACTGTCATTTATATGCATCTTTCCTTGTGCCACTTCCCTATACACAAAAATTCTCATTTCATGGATCAGCTTAGAAACTAGAATAAACTCTCCAAGAAGGGCACAACAGGCCGTGCTCAGCTGCTTATTACCCACAATCTCTGTGCCCTGTGATGTCCATTTCCTGTACATGATGATGGTATGAGCTATGACATAGAAGGGCTGACCTGGGATCCTACAAACCAGTACTTTTCCAGATCTTAGAACATATCAGTGCCAGAAAGGTGTTTAAAATAATCAACAGGGGACTCAATTTGCACTGTCAGCATAACCCTAAAAGACACCACAGAGAAATCAGTATAAATTCTATTGTACGCCTCTGGATTTGTCTGAACTCAGGGAGGCAGTCAGGCATGCAGAGTCCCATACCACTCAGTCATTGTCTAACGGTCACCAGACACTTCCAGTTCTCTGAAAGTACATCAGGCAAAGAGGCTCCAGTAGCATGAGGGCAGCCATCCTAGCGAGTCAAAGCCAATTAGAAAAAAAAGCAGAGCAAAAATGAGGTAAGGGCACCCAGTAAAAGGAATTTGCTGGGATCTGTGCAGAGGAAACACCAATAGCATCCACCAGACAAAAGCTGAATAATTCTTTCTCTGTGTTCCAAACCACAACCTGATTGACTTATATATCATAATCACTCAGTAGGGTTATTGAAACAGTTTATATATCCATCTCCCATGTTAGACCAGACTGTTCACTGAAACCCAGACACTGTATATTATCCACCTAAATATAGCTGGTTTAGTGATTTAAATATGAGTGCGCAGTTACTGTGTGCTGGGAATGAATAACTATAAATCGACTGGATTGTTAAAGAATGATGATAACACAGAGATTCTTTGATTTGATAGTAACTGTGATGTTCACTGTCACTTTTGTGAGATCAGCCCTATCCCCTATCACCGTTGATAATTTCCTCAGAGGCATCTCTTTCTCTATAGAAATATTATTACAAAGGCAGTAAACCATATCTGCTGACTTACATTCTGGAAGAAAATATAATGACAACCTCGTAAATACCTTCTTGTCTATGGAGAAAGTTACTGCATTCAAATCCCACTTTTCTAAGCCAAGAAAGCTAATACAGTACAGTTATTGTACACTATTTTTTGGCAAATGTTGTGTAAAACAGGATGGAATATGTTAACAGATCTAATAGATTTTAATATTTTTAAAAAAGAAAGACACAGAAAGCCTTCAACCAACTTTTTATTGTCCTTAAAATGATTGTTTACATCGTTTCATGAGTAGAAGAAAATACAACCAGTCTCACAATAACCATTTAGATATAAAATGTATAATCCAAGAACATCTCTCTTCAAACCAGTAGGACACTGTCACTGGTGATGAGAATGCTGTTATATGAAGCAATCGTATATTCTTCCATAATTTAATATGCAACTGAGGCATTATGTTAAAGGTATCAAGGAAGAAGCCTATCGTAAGTGATTATAGAAATACTGATTGAATAAATTTATTTAGAAATGGGATCATCTAAGGGATAGAGGTTAATCCACAGGTCAGTAGACCAAAGCCCAAAGACGACCTTTCCTTCCTGTGGGATACTTGATAAGAGATTTCAGGCTTCTCCACTTCTTTGGCACAAGCATAATCTGTCTGGCAAGCCATAGTTCCTAGTTGCTTCTTAGTGATGCTCCAGGGCTAAATAAGATAAAATTTATGTGCTATGCTTAAGCTCCATTGAGGCAAGGCACTAAATAAACTTCAGGATAATTTATGAATCGTGTTTGCATTAGTGATGTCCAAGTCCATCTCATAAAATGAATAAATGAGAACAGGAGGCCAATGCTGAGCACTTAGTGAAAAGCTCAGTATACTTTGGGCAATGGTGATGAGCCCAAATAAAACCACTTTATATCTAAAATAATTTTTTACTAATCCAGGAGATTTTCACAAACACAAAAACCCTAACTCCTTCCAATGCCCAGACAATAGTTCACTGGCACAACATCTGGTGTGTGAATCAGAGAACTGTATTATAGCAGCCCTAGTCTGATATCTAATATCTAATATCCTTTTAATTTACCATCATTTTTTAAAAAACTTTATGGCTCTACTCCAGTGAATGTGCTTAGCAAGGAATGCCAAGATCCTGTCTTCTCTTCAGAGCCACATCCATAGGCCAGCTTCTCCCTACTTTTTTCTTTCCCTTCCAGTTGCATTTTACCTTTCTCTTTCTACCACTTCATCAGTGTCTGTTAATCTTAGCAATCTGTATCTAAGAGAAAGGACAGTGAGAATGTAATTGGAAGAGTTAAACATGAGCATATATTTGGAAATTCAATCCTTCTAATTGTTCTAGCTAGTAGTGATGATTTGGTATTGCTGCTTTTGGTTTGTTGTTTTGTTTTGCTTTGTTTTAGTAATGGACATCCTACCTACAATTTTCAGTATAACAGTTACAGCAAGTAAAGTGAATCAGGATAAGGTAAGCTTCTTATCTAGAAACTGTGAGGGCCCCAACTAATCACCAACCACTTTTGCTAAACCAACAAGTGACTTAATTTCTGTTTCCAAAGCCATAACTCTATGCTTTTATCAAACACTTTCTCTGACCTGCAGGAATGTGTTTATTTGGAGTTTATAAAGGAAATCTAGAAGGGAAACACTATTCATATAAGCATGACAAACCTCAGCTGATTTTAAACACCCAAGTGCAGGAATAAAACGGAGTATCTTATATGTCTATAAACCAAGTCAGAATGCTTCCTCCAGAGAAAAGACACATACATTCCCAACCTAATACTGCTTGTTTTTAGAAATACAAACTAAGGTCATATTAAGCCAGGTTAAGAGGAGGAGAAGGTAGCTGCCCTTCACAAGTTTATCCATTCAGAGAGGAAGAAGTCAAGGGGAAAATTGCTCTCCTCTGACTAATGCAGTATAATTGTTTCCTCATGATGGTCCCCCTCCATTTTTCTCCCTTCAAACGTTCCCATGGCTACAAAAGGACATGACATACACACACACACACACACACACACACACACACACACACACACATACATACATACATATATATGTATTTTAAAAAGAATCACAAATCGCAGGGACATAAAATGGCTTCCTGTGGTTAATCTGAATTTGTCATTTTGCTTTTGAGATTTTCCTATTGGCCCACTTAACCCAGCACCTCATGTATAATGAATAATGTAAAGGGGGTATGGGGATGCCTATTTTAAGAGACCAAAAATGCCAGGTAACAACTTTAAGGCCATTACAATTTTATTCTATACACACACACACACACTCTCACTAATAAGAAAGGAGTTCACTTAGAAGGATAATGCTCTAAGGATAAAACACATAGTACTGCTCTTTCTCACAACTCTTTAGATGACTTGCAGAGTAAAAATTATGTTTACTTGGACTATGCAGGGAATTTTAAATTGAATCAATAAATTCCAGAATGTCATCAATCAAGAAATTTTTTAAAAAGAATTTTTTTAAAGAGAGGTAACATTAAGCTGAAACAGAAGGGCACATTTCTCCCTCCTCAATGTGATGTTTGTTCCTTTGCACTAAAGGGGAGTGAAAGTCATATGTTCCTAATGGGGAATCAGAAAATTGTTTTCTCAATGTCTGCTCATTTCAAAACCAGTACAATGCACACATATGAAGCTAATGAAACAAACAAGAATTAGACTAAAAAAAGTGTCTAGCAGACAATCACTGCAGTTCATACAGATTGGACAAAATTTTGGAGATTTCATCTCCTAGTTTCCCTGCTGTTATGTAACTAGGAGGTTTTACTTCTTCCGGGACCTAAAGATATATCCTCATTCCCTTTTTTCTATTTAATAAACTCAAATCCGTTACCTAGTAGCCTTTCTGCCAGCTTTGTTCATGCTGACTTGAACAGGGCAATCTGCTACATCAGATGCAAGCTGTGAGACACGTTTTCATTTCAATAGACTCCAAAGCTGAAGGCAAGAACTTCATCAAAACTTGTAAAATGGAGATCAAACATATTTCTAATTTAACTACCTTAGAGTTGAGGAATGCTGTGTAATTACTGTCCATAAAAACTTGCACTGCATTCCACAGAGCAGCAAGCCCTCCCAGGTGTTCATGCACATGTCTTCATCGAGAGGCTACAAGTTTAATAGATTGAACTTTTAATGGATACATCAATTTAGGCTTCCCTCAAAGCTATAGATTGAAATGGTATGTACCACATAACTGTGGCTAACACACTAAAATGGACAATAGCAACAATTTAGCAGATAGCATTTTAACAAAAGTAGCCTAGGGATTTATTTTTGTTGGTTTGATTTTCTAAAAAAACATACTTGGTTCATGCTTGTATTCCATGTTATAAGCTCTACAACTTTGAACAGATACTGTCTAGATCCAAGCAGGTCACCTACCCAAATAATGAAAATGCACTAAAAATGAAAGTCTCCAGGCCTAAAGCAATGGGCGATGAAGGCTCAGTGCAGCCTCTGCTGGCACTGTGCAACTGTCTCAGGATGCCACAAACCAGCGTCGCAGCTACCAGAGTCGGCAGGAGTCCATGCCTCTGTTCATCGTGGAATTGGGTGGACAGTTAAACGCTTTCTGGAATTCTTCAAAGTTACTAATTGCACCATTGACCCTGAAAAAAGGTATGTCAAAGCATATGTCATACAATTCTTGCACATCAACAGGTTCTGTGTAAAACTATAGCAGAATATTGCTAAAAAGAATGCTGCCATTCTTTTAATCTATTTACAGGGAGACAACTAAAGCCCAAAATGATTAAGTAAATTTCCAAAAAAAATGAACAGACTAGAACCAGCATCTCCTGAGTGCCAAGCAAATGCCCCATTACTCTTCCAACAGTCTTCAAATTCTTATAAAACTGTATTGTCACCAGTATTAGTTTTTCTAACTTTTTTAAAACTTTATAGAAAATATAACTGACGTATACAAAATATTACATGTAGAACTTGACAGTTTTTTGTGTGTATGGGCCCGTATTACTACCTGCCAGATCAAGACATTCCAGCACCCAGTAGGCTCCCGCCTGTTCCATACCAACAGCATCTCCAAAGATAACCGCTATTCTGACTTCTATTGCCATAGCTTTGCCTGACTTTGAACTTCATGTGGATGGAATCCACGGTATGTACTGTGTGCTCTTTGACTTCTTTCACTGAATATAATGTCTGCAAGAGTCATCCATGTTGTTGCATTTGCCGCTATTTTTAAAGAATTCATTCAATCTACAAAAACATTTTCTCTGAATTAGTGTTAGGTATGGAAGCTCATAGTTGCCCAGAATTTGATTAATGCAACAATCAATTAATGAATGGTATCTAGTTATTACTGATGAGTAATTCTTCACTGGAGTTAGCTCCAATATTTATAGGCTTCCAACTACAGTAAAGACTGGATTCCTACTCAGTATTTTGATTGTAGCTGTCTTTTGGAAGTGATATTGCCGTTGTGTGATTTCTGCTGCACTCAAAATCTACAGTTACTGCAGACTTCAGTAACAAGCCAGCACACACACAAAAAAACTTCCCCCTTTCATCTACTTCTTACTCAACTCCATGTTCAAAGGGTTGACTAGAGACTCAGCATTCTCAGTCACTATTTCTTCCCTAATGACTTTGTTACCTACGGGCATTTGAATAAATGTAATGCACTGTATCCAAAAAATCCTCATAACCGCTTGTGTTTTAGCTGAATATATGGGTAGGGATGCATATTTCATAGTGTGATTCACCCTAGGCAAGTGTTAAAGATAGAATATAGCTGATAATTAGTAAGCATACACTGTAAAATTCAACATTACAGGCAACTAGTTAAAGGAAATAAGTTTCTGAAAGCTTGTATCTGTTGAGTAATTAATCTACTGTGTGGTTTCATCTGCACCATTTGTCAGTGGGAACACATTTTAGTACATTCGAGACCGTCAGCCTTCATGACAGTTTAGCCCAGTGGCGGAGAAATTTCCAACACAGTGATTAGATTTTTATGCTAGTGGGTAATTTATAATAAATTTCTGAAGCATTTCTAAGGCAAGATCTTAGGAATAAGATTTTAAAATATAGAAGAAATTTTAGATGGCTTTCTTGCAATATGCTAATGGATTCATTTAAACATTAAATATAAAGATACCCAGATATAATGTCCTAAACAAAGAACGAATACATATAAATTATTATGGTTTTTGCATTTCTCATCATACTTATCTTTCCCCTACTACAGAAAATTTCTGTCAACCTATAGGACCGAGTACAGGGTGAGTAATATTAACGTTAATTTTATTTGTACTTAATGTTTTATACATTCTGATAAATAAGACTGTAATTCATAATCCTCTTCCCTTTCTGTATAAGCTACTGTTTCAAAATATGATCCAAAGTGTAAGCCAAAATGTAGACTCTCTAACTCTAGATATAAATTATAATTGCTAAAGAATACTATGTATCCTCCTTTGTGTTCAAAGCTATTTAGAAGGTGGCCATTCATTCATGTTTGCTGTTTGACTGTGTGAAAGAAGAAGATGTATTAAAGGGGATATTCTTTACAACAAAATAAACCAGAGCTCTAGGTGTTTTAAGGCAGAGTACATCAAATCTCATCCTTGCCTAAGACAATAAAGGCTATTTTTTTGGACCAAAACAGTAAGCGGTTGAGTAAGTCCAATAATGCAGTTTACTGAGACTCTTTCAAAAACTGGAAGATAATGCGATGTAATACTAAAGCTATGATTTGGATTCCAAATTACCTCTGGAGTCTTGTATAGTCTCATTGGCACTTAATGTAGCACTAGACTAGAGATCTGTACAAGTACCCACCAGCAGAAATTCAGGTGAGAGAGTGCTGACTAAACCAGCTTACTACTAATGAAAGAAGATACTTAGTTTCTGTGTGGCCAGATATTTTTTGGCTGCAAAATGGAAATCATACAGTTCACAATATGCGATTTTTTTCAGATCACCTATCTGGTAGAGCCCTTGGATGGCTGGGTGGGGGAGAAAGGGCGGAGATGCACTGTTAAAAACTGCCGTCACCCCTTTGCCCATTTACCTAAACTGAGGGGGACTGTGAGCACCAATTTGGACTTGTTCTCGGGCAGCTTCTGGTCTGTAGGAATTGCACCTCACCTAGAAGAGAAAAGCATCCCAACAAATGAGCTTTCATTCCAATTATGTATTTTCTACTGTCTTAAATGCTCCAAATTATACTGAAGAATACTTTTAGAATCAATGGATGACAAACAGTTTTAGTAGATCAAATAAAACCGTCATTGGTAATAACATCTATTATTCTGATCCCCAGAGTAGAAGATTTTATCAATGTGAATAATTTCACAATTTGAGTAAGTAAGAAAGGTTTTCAGACAAGTGCTTTAAATCAAGAGAATCGTATATGTGCCCAGGAATCCACTAGTGTACTCATTCAATGAATTTAATGTTTGAAATAGTCCTTCTCAAATTTAACCATACTCATTCAAATCAATAAAATGAATCAGCCACCCATTATTGAGGATGGTGATGAGAAGTTAGTAGTCTGCCCCTGAGTGCCTTGCTCGCTTCACCCTAGTCTGGGCCTAGGATTGATGTACACTTCTCCATCTCCTTTGAAGTTGGGCATGGCGATATGGCTTGTTCTGGCCAATGAAGTGTGAGCAGAAGCCGAAGTAATATATGTTACTTCCTGGCAGAAGCTTTAAAACCTGACAGAAGTTTTAAGAGCCTTAAGAACAATTTAAGATGCTACACTAACAGCCAGCTGCACACATCCTTATCCTTCTTTTCTACTTCTGTGTTATCCACAGAAGCACATGCCAAGATATAGACTCTAAAACCCAAGTTTTGTGTTTGTTTGTTTGTTTGTTTTGACATGGAGTCTGGCTCTGTCACTCAGGATGGAGTACAATGGCACAATCTTGACTCACTGCAACCTCCACCTCCTGGTTTCAAGTGGTTCTCCTGCCTCAGCCTCCCAAGTAGCTGGGATTACAGGTGCACACCACCAAGCCCAACTAATTTTTGTATTTTTTTTTATTATACTTTAAATTCTGGGGTACATGTGCAGAACGTGCAGGTTTGTTACACACGTATACATGTGCTATGGTGGTTTGCTGCACCCATCAACCCGTCCTCTACATTAGGTATTTCTCCTAATGCTATCCCTCCCCTAGTCCCCCACCCCCTGACAGGCCCTGGTGTGTGATGTTCCCCTCCTTGGGTCCATGTGTTCTCATTGTTCAACTCCCATTTATGAGTGAGAAAATGTGGTGTTTGGTTTTCTGTTCTTGTGTGTGTTTGCTGAGAATGATGGCTTCCAGCTTCATCCATGTCCCTGCAAAGAACATGAGCTCATTCTTCTACATGGCTGCATAGTATTCCATGGTGTGTATGTGTCACATTTTCTTTATCCAGTCTATCATTGATGGGCATTTGGATTGGTTCCTAGTCTTTGCTATTGTGAACGGTGCTGCCATAAACATACATGTGCATGGCATCTTTATAGTAGAATGATTTATAATCCTTTGGGTATATACCCAGTAATGGGATTGCTGGGTCAAATGGGATTGCTGGTTCTAGATCCTTGAGGAATTGCCATACTGTCTTCCACAATGGTTGAACTAATTTACACTCCCACCAACAGTGTAAAAGTGTTCCTATTTCTCCACATCCTCTCCAGCATGTAGTTTCCTGACTTTTTAATGATTGCCATTCTAACTGGCATGAGATGGTATCTCGTTGTGGTTTATGATTTGAATTTCTCTAATGACCAGTGATAATGAGCATTTTTCATGTTTGTTGGCTGCATAAATGACTTATTTTAAGAAGCGTCTGTTCATATCCTTCACTCACTTTTTGATGGGGTTGGTTTTTTTTTTTCTTGTAAATTTGTGTAAGTTCTTTGTAGATTCTGGGTATTAGCCCTTTCTCAGATGGGTAGATTACAAAAACTCTCTCCCATTCTCTAGGTTGCCTGTTCACTCTGATGATAGTTTCTTTTGCTGTGCAGAAGTTCTTTAATTAGACTCTATTTGTCAATTTTGGCTTTTGCTGTTTTAGACATAAAGTCCTTGCCCATGCCTATGTCCTGAATGGTATTGCCCAGGTTTTCTTCTAGGATTTTTATGGTGCTAGGTCTAACGTTTAAGTCTTTGATTCATCTTGAGTTGATTTTTTTTTGTATAACGTGTAAGGAAGGGGTCCAGTTGCAGTTTTCTGCATATGGCTAGCCAGTTTTCCCAACACCATTTATTAAATATGGAATATTTTCCACATTGCTTATGTGTGTCAGGTTTGTCAAAGATAGATGGTGGTAGATGTGTGGTGTTATTTCTGAGGCCTCCGTTCTGTTCCCTTGGTCTATATATCTGTTTTGGTACCAGTACCATGCTGTTTTGGTTACTGTAGCCTTGCAGTAAAGTTTAAAGTCAGGTAGCGTGATGCCTCCAGCTTTGTTCTTTTTGCTTAGGATTGTCTTGGTTATATGGGCCCTTTTTGGTTCCCTATGAAGTTTAACGTAGTTTTTTCCAATTCTGTGAAGAAAGTCAGTGGTAGCTTGATGGGGATAGCATTGAATCTCTAAATTACTTTGGAAAGTATGGCCATTTTCACAATATTGATTCTTCCTATCCGTGAGCATGGAATGTTTTTCCATTTGTTTGTGTTCTCTCTTATTTCCTTGAGCAGTGGTTTGTAGTTCTCCTTGAAGAGGTCCTTCACATCCCTTGTAAGTTGTATTCCTAGGTATTTTATTCTATTAGTGGCAATTGTGAATGGGAGTTCACTCATGATTTGGCTCTGTTTGTCTGTTATTGGTGTACAGGAATGCTTGTGATTTTTGCACATTGATTTTGTATCCTGAGACTTTGCTGAAGTTGCTTATCAGCTTAAGGAGATTTTGGGCTGAGACGATGGGGTTTTCTTAATATACAATCATGTCGTCTGCAAACAGAGACAATTTGACTTCCTCTCTTGCTATCTGAATACCCTTTCTTTCTTTCTCTTGCCTGATTGCCCTGGCCAGAACTTCCAACACTATGTTGAATAGGAGTGGTGAGAGAGGGCATCCGTGTCTGATGCCGGTTTTCAAAGGGAATGCTTCCAGTTTTTGCCCATTCAGTATGATATTGGCTGTGAGTTTGTCATAAATAGCTCTTATTATTTTGAGATACGTTCCATCAATACCTAGTTTATTGAGAGTTTTTAGCATCAAGGGGTGTTGAATTTTGTTGAATGCCTTATTAAGATAATCGTGTGGTTTTTGTCATTGGTTCTGTGTATGTGATGGATTGTATTTATTGATTTGCATATGCTAAACCAGCCTTGCATCCCAGGTATGAAGCCAACATAAGCTTTTTGATGTGCCGCTGGATTTGGTTTGCCAGTATTTTGTTGAGTATTTTCGCATCGATGTTCATCAGGGATACTGACCTAAAATTTTCGTTTTTTGTTGTGCCTCTGCCGGATTTTGGTATCAGCATGATGCTGGCCTCATGAAATGAGTTAGGAAGGATTCCCTCTCTTTCTGTTGTTTGGAACAGTTTCAGAAGGAATAGTACCAGCTCCTCTTTGTACCTCTGGTAGAATTCAGCTGTGAATCTGTCTCATCCTGGACTTTTTTTGGTTGGTAGGCTATTAATTGCTGCCTCAATTTCAGAGCCTATTATTGGTCTATTCAGGGACTCAACTTCTTCCTGGTTTAGTCTTGGGAGGGTGTATGTGTCCAGGAATTTATCCATTTCTTCTAGATTTTCTAGTTTATTTGGATAGAGGTGTTTATAATATTCTCTGATGGTGGTGTGTATTTCTGTGGGATCAGTGGTGAAATCCCCTTTATCAATCATTTTTTATTGCATCTATTTGATTCTTCTCTCTTTTATTCTTCATTAGTCTGGCTAGTAGTCTATTTTGTTGATCTTTTTGAAAAACCAGGCTCCTGGATGCACTGATTTTTTGAAGGGGTTTTCGTGTCTCTATCTCCTTCAGTTCTGCTCCAATCTTAGTTGTTTCTTGTCTTCTGCTAGCTTTTGAATGTGTTTGCTCTTGCTTCTCTAGTTCTTTTAATTGTGATGTTAAGGTGTCAATTTTAGATCTTTCCTGCTTTCTCTTGTGGGCATTTAGTGCTATAAATTTCTCTCTACACACTGCTTCAAATGTGTCGCAGAGATTTCGGTACGTTGTGTCTTTGTTCTCATTAGTTTCAAAGAACATCTTTATTTCTGCCTTCATTTTGTTACTTACCTAATAGTCATTCAGGAGCAGGTTGTTCAGTTTCCATGTAGTTGCGGAGTTTTGAGTGAGTTTCTTAATCCTGAGTTCTAATTTGTTTGCACTGTGGTCTGAGAGATTGTTTGTTATGATTTTCGTTCTTTTGCATTTGCTAAGAAGTGTTTTACTTCCAACTATGTGGTCAGTTTTGGAATAAGTGTGATGTAGTGCTGAGAAGAATGGATATTCGGTTGATTTGGGATGTAGAGTTCTGTAGATGCCTATTAGGTCCACTTGGTCCAGAGCTGAGTTCAAGTTCTGGATATCCCTGTTACTTCTGTCTCGTTGATCTGTCTAGTGTTGACAGTGGGGTGTTAAAGTCTCCCACTGTTATTGTGTGGGAGTCTAAGTCTCTTTGTAGGTCTCTAAGAACTTGCTTTATGAATCTGGGTGCATATACATTTAGGATAGTTAGCTCTTCTTGTTGCATTGATTCCTTTACCATTATGTAATGCTTTTGTCTCTTTTGATCTTTGTTGGTTTAAAGTCTGTTTTATCAGAGACTAGGATTGTAACCTCTGCTTTTTTGTTTGTTTTTTTGCTTTCCATTTGCTTGGTAGACCTTCCTCCATCCCTTTATTTTGAGCTTATGTGTGTCTCTGCATGTGAGATGGGTCTCCTGAATACAGCACGCTGATGGGTCTTGACTCTTTATCCAATTTGCCAGTCTGTCTTTTTTAATTGAGGCATTTAGCCCCTTTATATTTAAGGTCAATATTGTTATCTGTGAATTTGATCCTGTCATTATGATGCTACCTGGATATTTTGTCGATTAGTTGATGCAGTTTCTTCATAGTGTTGATGGTCTTTACAATTTGGTATGTTTTTGCAGTGGCTGGTACTAATAGTAGTGCTTCCTTCAAGAG